AGTAGCCTATGTATTCTTCCAGACTATCCTCTACATCCTTACCAAATTTCAACGAAATCGGTTCAGCCGTTTAGGCTACAAACTCTAACATCCATCCATCTAAACTTTCGCATTTATAATATTAGTATGATTACAGTGAAATTTTAACTAGCATTAGTCTTGCGTTTTAAAATGTTATATTAATTATACGTTAACTAAGAAATGTTCTAAATTCCTTGGAGCAATATCAGAGCGAACAATACAATACTTCTGTAAGTCATTACGACAGAGTTCTTTGTCTCTCTTATTGTTTTCAAACTTTATTGCAAGGTGACATCAACGCATACCTTACTCTGACATGTATATTGCATGTTGCATGTTAATTAACAATGTAAATCAATGTATGGAATATTAAATTACGAATTACATTAGCGGTTTAATGTTTATCAAAATATTAACAAAGATATGTACATCGATAACATTTAAAAAAATACTTTTGTATTCAAAGACTAATTAAAAAAAATAGTGTCCCTTTAATGAAACAAAATAAAAAGAAAATAAAAGTTCCAATCTACGTGAATACGTTTTTCTATAGCAAAAGATTTAAACGCGCTTAAGTTTAAAATGATTATTACTAGCGACATCTATTGTTGAATAGTAAATTAACTTTTGTTTAATATCTTTTTTCAAATCTATTTGCGAATAATTATTTTTAAACAATAACTATGTGTTAAAGTTAATTTTATTAATAATTTTTTATTATGAAAGTTAATCGAAATGCTTAGAAAATCTGCGTCGTACGAATTAAAGGAACGTCAACTGTCAAAATCTTTTGACTAACAATGACATTAAGATATAAACAAAAAATAAACATTGTGATCTTATTCCTTTCAAAGGGAAGTAATACGTAAAAATAAATAAAATCATGTCTGAAAACACTACCGATGACAAAACCGCAGATAAAGTTAACAACAACATATGTGAAAATATCGAAACAACTCCGGTACAAAATGAACTTACTAACAGACTAAAAAATCGAGTTAAAAATTACATCAAGAAGTTAGAAGGTATGTAGTATGTAATGCTCATCATCTATCATCCTTAGTTATCCTTTACAGTAATTACGGATGCAAAAGTTTGGATGGATGGATGCTTGTTTCCATGTATGATTTCGATGAAAATTGACAGAGAGCATAATCTGCTTAATAAGTTTTATGTTCATTTTGCAAAATTCGCGGGCTAAATTTAACACATGGAGCTAAAATTTTTACAATTTATATTGAATTTCGTTTCAAGCCATTGAGGACTTTTGAGTAATATTTCTCTATGTTTTAGACACTAGTTCCGTAACAACTAAAGAAGAGAGTGAGAGAGTAGAAATAGAAACATTCAAGCAACTCTACAAACCTAAATTAGAGGGAAACCAAGAAACATATAAGAAAATACCAAAGTTTTATTTCAAACTTCCAAGATCAGATGAAGTGTTAGCACAGAAGTTGAGAGAAGAAACTCGAGCTCAGTTCTTGCAGAAGAAAAGCAAAGAATTACTAGATAATAGTGAATTGAAACATTTATGGAGTCTTTTGGAGAAATCAAATGGAAACTATAGTCCTTCAAGTAATGATGAACTTACAATAGACTACTTGCAGTTTAGAAAAATTAGGGATGAAGCTGGCCCTAAATATAGGTAACTAGCTTTTCCCGTGCGGCTTCATCCGCATGAAATTATGAAAATTTTATTTTATTGTATACATTTGCTAAATTACAAATGTCAACCACATGACATAATGCAAACCTTCTTTTCCTTGATGTTGGCAGCAAGTTATGGTCTCTTTCCCACATTAGGATTTTATGCAAAATGTTTACCCCTAAGTTTAAGGGTCTGAAAATATATAGTGTGATATAAGTGTAGGGCAACAAAGAAGTATGTGTTTACGCTTTATTATAATAGCATAGATTTAAAAGAATCATCCCGCTATGTATTAATGTGATTATCGAGTTTTCGAAATTTCATATGTACATAATTTACCCAACGTTCTTACGGTTAAGGAAAACATCGTGATGCCTGCACATATCGGCGAAGAAATTCAATGATATGTGTGAAGTTAACCAACCTGCAGTGGGCCAGCGTGGTTGACTATGGCCTAATCACCCTAATTTAAGGTAGGCTCCGAGCCCCTCGGTGGGGACATATAGTGAGCTGGTGATGAAGAAGAATTTGTACTAATATTTGCTTATACTCAGTTTATTCCTAAGTTTAACTTTATACTACATTTATTTGTAAGGCTTTAAGTTATTAGTTCCAAATTATTCAGCAATATGGAGATTATTTTATATATCAGATCCTAGACAAAGTATAATATAATAATTATTATTGCTGATTGAAGTTACATGCATTTATTTCTACACATTTTGATGTATTTTGTTAATATTACTATGGCTAATTGTAACTTATTATAGAGGCTTTGTATACTGTTTTTCAGACCATACTTTACAGCTGAAGTGTTTGGCCGATTACAAGCAGCCGAGGGTGGTTTTGGCAAAGTCCGTGGTGTGTCATTATTCAATTATGTGATGAGGCGAGTCTGGCTGCAGCAGACTAGGATTGGTTTATCCTTGTATGATGTTACAGGACAGGGATATCTGACTGAACATGTATGTATGGTGAACAAATAGCTTAATATCCATCCATTATCCATTTAATATAATCCATTTTGAGCACTGACTAATTATTATTGAAGTTGTAAGAAGTTAAATTTCAATTTTTTGTTCGTTCTTAAAGTGTTTAAAGTGTTTGTGTGACCTCTTTTGAGCAAACCATCGCACTTCTGTTTAGTATTGCTTTGATTTCTATGAGCTAACAAATTCCTGTGGCAGCTTGCTAGTTTATCACCTATTAAAAAAGCATAAAATAGAAATTGCACATTTACTTTACGAAATATAGATCACTACAGAGCCACCTATCTTACTTCATTTTTACTGATATTACTAGCTGTTCCCGTGCGGCTTCATCCGCATGAAATTATGAGAATTTTATTTTATTGTTTACATTTGTCAAATTATCAATTGCAAATGTCAAAATGACATGACATGACAAACCTTGGCAGTCTTGCTTCTTTGATGTTGGCAGCAACTTATGGTCTCTTTACCACCTTAGGGTTTTTATCCGAAGTATTTACCCCTAAGTTTAATGACGTGAAAATATATAGCCTAAAGCGTGACGTAAGTGTAGGGCTTTTTATTAAAAAAAACAATTATTCAAAAATATGCTGTAATTGCTGACATCTTAAGCAACAAAGAAGTGTATGTTTACGTTTTATTATAATAGTATAGATAAAAGATGGATGGATGGATGGATGTTTGTTAGTGTATGTATCCTAAACTGTTGAATGGATTTTGATGAAATCTGACATAGATGTAGAGTAGAGGATGTCTGGAAGAACATATATACTACTTTTGTTGTTTATGTCCACACAGTCTTGGGTAAAATTTAATCCAAAATAAAATATTTTCAGGACTTAGAGAGTTACATAGCAGAGTTAGTGCCGTCTCTAGCAGCACTAGATGGTCTAGATTCTTCATTCAGTTCGTTCTACGTGTGCACCGCAGCTAGGAAGTTCTTGTTCTTCCTAGATCCGTTGAGAGTGGGCAGAGTTAGGATCAGAGATGTGTTGAGTTGCTCGTTTCTGGATGATCTGTTGGAGGTATGTATGGATAGAAATAATAGTGGGAATTTTAATTTTCAGATTATTTTTTAATGATGAAAATGCCATTAAATTAAGTACTTATATGATCTTAATTGTATAATTTAACAGTGGTTGTGCCCACTTTAACATCTTAGCACTGCAGGGCCGGCACGCCCGATGTAATACCACGACCACGCAGAAGACAGGC